ACGTAGCATTTCATTTCATTGTATTAAATTAAGGACATAGTGATACAGCTTTTCAGTGAATGCTTCTGATGAAAACTTTTCTAAAACTCTGATTCTCCCAGCAGCTCCCATTGTCCTCTTTAAATTAGGATCTTTTATAAATTTCTCCATGGCTTCTGAAAACTGGGTTGGAAGAGGATCACACAAAAAACCTGTTTGATTATTTACAACTGATTCCACAGGTCCTCCTGAATTTACGGCAATAACTGGGCACTTCATGTACATAGCCTCTAAGGGAACTATACCAAAGTGTTCATTACTTGGGGTATACAGGACACATATAGAATTGCTAAGAAGAGCTATCTTCTGCTCATCAGAAAATGATCTTAGAAACGTGATATGTTCATCAATCTGAAGTTTTGTAGTGAGTGCTTTCAATTCATCAAAGTATTCCACATTTTCATTAACTGCCACATCATAACCACCAGCTAAAACCAGATGAACTTCACTCCAGTTTTGAGCATCAAGTCTACCACGAAGATCATGTAATGCTTTCAAAGCCAAAATTAGATTTTTCTTCCTTTCATATCTATTGATGGAAAGAAACAAGAATTTCTTCCTGTAGGGAACTATGTTAGCAATATTTGCAGAAATAATGGTATCAAAGGTATTGACATTCAAAGAGGGGTAAAGGACCTCTGGATTTATGTGACACAAGGATTTGAAGGTGTGTTTGAAAATGTTTGCTGTGAAGTAACTGTTGACAAGAATACAGTCAGCCATGCCAGTTGTATACTCTTCTAACCAATCCAGTGGAGCTCTGTAGATGCGTTTAAGCAATGATTTCCTCTTAGTCAAAAGCTGATCAGGAAAGTGACAGTAAAACAAAACCTTCTTATGAGTCCGGGCTAGACGTAGAATTGGAATGCATGCAGACACCTAGAGGGAGAAGAAAAAAAATGGGTGGAAAGAGGATGTACAAAAAAAGTTAATGTGTTGAAAAAAAAAAAACCAGTGGTTAAGATTTTGTTTATTATGTGTTGCAGTTCTCTATCTTAAATTTTCAAAAGATTTCCCTCTTGATCATCTCCACAGTGGATATTTAATTCAAAATTGTTATCATTAATTTATTTGGTTTTCTCAGGAATGTCAGATAATATTATTAGCAATCCAAGGAATATAATTTTGTTCAGTAGTTTGTCTTTTCTGAGGTCAGAGAAAATCTGACTTTTGCATTTACATTAGAAGTAAATCTCAGCTAGTCTCCTTTGTTTATTTGAGACATTTCATATTTTGTCTAAATAGCCCCCCCCACCCCTGGCTTGGTGTAGGTGGTAATATTTGAAACCTTTCTTTTCCCTCAATAGGAAGAATATGTTTTATGTCAAGAAATGAAGGACAGAAAGAACCCTTTTGGTTACATTAAAATCCATGATTGGGCAATTATTTCTTTAGGACCTACTAAAACGTCCCAAAGAGCGAGCATGCATTTGAATTGCTTTTGAAAGTAACAGTCCCATTCCAGATATCCAATTATAATAACTTTCCAAAAAGGGAAAGATTGGTTTACAGACATACCTCCTCACAAATATACCCAGAGATATTCCACTAGAAAGATCTACAAGTTTTTTTTTTAAAATAGACAATCTAGTACAGGTTAAAGGTAGATAGTTCCATAATACTGAATATCAATCTAGAGAAAATACTCCTTAGCTCTTAATGGGTGATTTTACCTCTGCCATGGAGACAGACATGACATGATACAGTAATATACAGCGTTACATGAAACATCACATACCAGCACAATTACAATTATACTGGCAGCTGACTGTGGAATGGCAATATTTCAATAACATTAAATAGTTTGAGGGAATCCTCCCATAGAAGTGTTAGGAAAAAGCTACTGAAAACATATTACATATTGTTATGTATCACTGCTACTCTTTTAGTAGCAATGGATTTTAGCAAGTTAAAATAACATTGTAATGGAATGCTTTAAGCCTTCCGGGGAAGAAAAAAAATCCTAAGGAGATAAGATGGTGAATCTATGCAGGAAAGAGATTTGCCCTGAAAAGAAGACAAAGGGAAAGTCACTATATTTATTGACTGAAACAAATGTGTGCCAAATGGAGCCATCAACTTGTTGACCTACAGGTAGTCCTCCCTTAATAACCACAATAGGGACCAGAAAATTTGTTAAGTGGGTCGGTTGTTAAACGAGTTGTACCCAATTTTATGACCTTTTTTGCAGCGGTCATTAAGCAAATCACTATGGCCATTAAGCGAATTACATGGTCGTTAAACAAATCATGCAGTTCCCCATTGATTTTGCTTGCTGGAAGCTGGCTGGGAATGTCACAAATGGTGATCACATGACTCTGGGATGCTGCAACCACTGTACGTGCGAGCTGGTTGCCAAGTGCCTGGATCACGATCATGTGCCTGCGGGGGTTCTGCGATGGTTGTAAGTGTGAGGACCGGTTCTAAGTCCCTTTGTTCAGCGCTGCTGTAACTTCAAACGGTCACTAAATGAATGGTTGTCAAGTGAAGACTACCTGTACATTGTTTGTCAGGAGCACAGAACTTCCAAAATTTATCAGTTCCATTGACAATTATTATTATTCCATGTTGAGATACTGATATGGCAAACTACAGCTACAACCATACCATTATATGAAAATCTAGAAAGGAGCACAGCCAGGAAGTATCTATCTATCTTCGAAACCATAAGAAGTAATAGTACAACTCTTTTTTACATTAGTAAGACTCCCATCTTGCCTACTGGCACCATAAAGAATTTTTAAAGGATTTTGAACACCACACTTTAACAAGGAGCCAAACAAAAGAATGGCCACAAGAATAATCAGGGGACTGGAAAGAGTGAGAGAACTGTTATAACTTTGATAAAAAGAGTATGGATAGATCACTTATGAAGTATTTGAACAGATGTCCCAAAGGCAAGCTATAATATGTTCTTTAATATCTGAAGCTGCAGAACATGGAATAATGTCCTATAAATAATATTTATAGATCTCCTAGATTGGGGGGCTCTTCAGACATTCACTCACCTCGCAGCTTGACTACTACAAGGTGCTCGACATGGGGCTGCCCTTGAAGACCACCTAGACCAGCTTCAGCTGGTCTAGAATGCAGCGGCCTGAGCACTAATGGGCATGCCTCGGTATGCCCATGTAACACGTATTTTTTGCAAGCTGCACTGGTTGTTACTTATAAAACCCTTTTGCAATTCAAGATGCTGGTTGTTACTTATAAAACCCTCCATGGCACAGGGCCTGTTTACTTGAGGGACCTCCTGTCTCCCATAGCATCTGCCTGGCACCAGGGTTGGTGTGCTCCAGATTCCTTTGATTAAACAATGTCATCTATTGGTATCTCAGAAGTGGGCTTCTCTGTAGCAGTGCTTGCCCTCTGGAACAAGGTTCCCCCCAAGATCTGGATGGCTCCCTCTGCTGTTGTTCAAAAACGCTGTAGGGACCTGGCTTTTCACCCCAGCCTTTGTCGAGGGAAAGTGAGACCCCTCACTTCATCTCATTTGTTATCTTTTATCTTCTATGTTTTATTGATTTTGTAATTTTTTTTGTTGATTGTTGTGAGCCATCAGAGTTGTTGGGAGTTGGGTGGCATATAAATTAATAAATTATTAACATCTTATAGAATGGAATGCTAGTGAATACAGTGGAACGCTAGTGAAAGCTTCCTAACAATAGGAACAGCGGAATCAATTACCAACGGAGGTAGTGGGTCTTCATTGGATGTGTTCAAGCATATGGTGGACACCTTCTTAGGATGCTTTAAGTGGATCCTGAACTGAACGGTGGATTTCCCTCAGGCACCTAAACAGCTCCAATTTAATGCTTTCATGACCACTCCTTTGGCCCAATTCTGAGCTAGCAATTTTGGATCATGAACAGCAGTCTCACACTACAGGTGAAGCTAAAAAAAAACAACAAAAGTTCAAAGGCATATCATTTCTTTAAATAGGTGACTTTTCCTTAATGTGGAGTATGAACCAGTGAGAATCACTTCAATGTAATGTCAGAAATGTGACTTAATTGATTTCAATATGCCTTTTAAAAATAATCCTAAAATAGTAAACATAAAATTGTTTACAAGGTGAGAGAGTAGCATGCCCAAGTTACACCTGACTGGCCTAGAGCCTCAATTCTGACTGGATAGCACGAAGCCAAATTAGAAAAGGGAAAATCTGTTCCTTGCACTCTCTGAAGTAATGAACTTAATTACAGAGAGTTATGGGGGGGGGGG